TTCAACCTATACCAATTACTTCTCAAAATACTTACTGATTTATTTTACTTCTCATCAAACTTGTCCTTTGTTAATGTTAGAATGTACTGATCTCTCATTCGCATCTTGCTATTTGCTGACCTCCATTGTCTTGAAATTTTACTTTTGGGTTAATCCAGATCATTGAAGAGCTATGTGTGTGCCACACCAGGGTGGGCAGTTGTTGCACGACGTTTATGGGAATTGGCTCTGGCATTTTGCCCTTCACCTATGTTGAAGCCTGTAATAAGTAGTCCTATTTAGCTGTTTACTGAATTTATTATAGAGATAATGTATTAGTTCATTATGTTGCTTATAATAAAATACATGGAATGGGGTACTTTGTAGGAAAATGAAGTTTATTGCTTACAGTTTCAGAGGCTAGGAAGTCTGAGGTGCAGGGAACGCATCAGGTGAGGGTCTTGGTGGTGACTTCAGTGACACAGGGTATCACATTGTGAAATGGCGGAGCAAAGAGAGCAGAGAAGAATCTCCTCATTCACTCTCTTTTTAAAGCCCTCAGAACCGCGCCCCTGCCCACCATTATTAATCCATTCACTGCTGCATGGCCCTACAGTCCAATCACCTATTTAAGGCTCCACCTTTCAATTACCATAATAGGATTTCCCACCCTCTTAACAGTCACAGTGGGGGCTAAATTTCTAATACATGAAACTTGGGGGACACAATTCAAGCTTCAGTGAGTTTTGGGGGAACATAATTCAATCCACTACAGATGAGTTAGAAGTTTTATTTATTTATTTATTTATTTTAAATATCATGGTGCCTCTATGTATGTATGTATGTATGTATGTATGTGGGCTTCAGGGAGAAAATTTGTCTTAGTAACACTGAAATTGTGTAAGTGATTACATTGCCATTGTTTAATTGGCTGCTGGCAGTGAAATATCAATTTGAAAGTCACTTCTGTTAAATAAAATTTGTGGGAGGTCACTGATTTGGACTGAGCTCCTCCCCAACCGACCAACCCAAAATGGAGTCATTCATGCTGTTTCCATGTCACCAAACTGAAACCTAAGCTGTTTACTTATAAGATCTGATCTCCTGAGAAATCAGGAGAAAGATGATAGCCAAATCCCCAAACAGGCCAGTTTTCTGAAAAACAAACAAACAAACAAACAAAAAACAGGAAATTCACAGCAACCAATCAAAAGTGACCCAGTCAATCTGAGCTGCCACAATAAGGAAATCTCTTGCTATGGTCTTAATGTGTCCCCCAAAATTCATGTGTTGGAAACTGAATCCCCAGAGCAACGGTGTTGGGAGGTGGGGCCTAATGGGAGGTGTTTAGGTCACAAGGGCTCTGCCCTCATGAATGGATTAATGCCACTATAAAAAAAAGGCCTGCAGGACTGGGTTCTCTTTCTCCTGCCCTTCTGCCTTCTGCCTGTGGGACGCAGCAAGAAAGCCCCCACCAGATGCTGGTGACTTGATGTTGGATTTCCCAGCCTCCAGAACAATGAGAGAATAAATTTCTATTCTTTATAAATTACCCAGTCTCAACAAAACAGAGTGAGACATCCCCTCTGCTTTAACCTCTACAGGGAAAGTAACCTGAAACAACCTGATGTTATCCAATCTGCTTTTTTGCACCATGCTGTTTCCTCCTTCCTGCTGGGGCTGCCTTACAAAAGCTGATCCTTTTGCCATGCCCAGTGGAATTCCTTCTATTTTGCAGACAGGATGCTATTCATTTAGTGAATTGCTAATAAAAGCCAATCAGATCTTTAAAACTCAATTTGTTGAAATTTTGTTCTTTGGCATCTCTAAGAATAGTTCATAACTGTAAGTCATTAATTTTAGGCACTAACCTAAGCTTCATCCTGTTTTCCTTTCTGTTCAATTTCTTGAGTTTGGTTAGAAAAAAATTGGCTGGAAAAAATCTTATTGTAGATACACAATTTACTTTATTTTATTTATTTTTTGTGTTGTATGCTATTATTATAGCTTTGCTTGATAATTCACTTAAGTTAAATGATTTTTTAAATGATATTCTTTAATCTTTATGATAATCTTTAGTGCAGAGTTGTGTTGTTTCCATAAAAATCCTACATCCAAGAAAAACCACAGAGAACTCATTTCTGAGAGGATATTCATAAAATGACCTTAGAGATGGCCTTGGAGATCTATATGATGAAGGATTTCCATGTTTAATTTAATGTTTGAAAAATGACACTGCTTTTCTGCACTTTCACCAAACTTGGTGGATCAAGTTGATCAGAGATTCCTATGAGACAATTTTTACTAGAAATCCAAGCCTCTTGGTTGAGGCTCTGCCAATGGTCAATTGCACATTCTGCTTCCTTATTGTGGGTAAAGGGGTAGCAGGAGAAATATTTATTTGAGAGCTGATGGTAGCACTGCTTGTTGCTTACACACAGCCAATTCATTATTTACATGGCTAACAGAACCCTGATGTTGTTTGGGCAACCATGTGCCCAGCCCCAGGGGATGAAGGAGACTTGGTTTCAGGCTGTCATAGCCATCTTGCTCCCCTTTGCCAGAGACTTGCTTTCCCATCTTCATTTGCAGTTAAGAATAGCCATATGGTCCATCAGGGCCAATAAGGTTCAGAGAGAATGCTGGAGTGCTCCTGGAAAAAAGTTTCTCTTCCTAATAAGAAACAGAGAGATGAAGAGGAGGTTAGGGCCTCCCTGAATACACCCCCTTATTCCTTCCTTTTAATACACACTTTAGAGACATAATGTCTGGAGCTGTGGCTGCCATCTTGCAACAAGTATAAAGAGGAGAAGCCAACATGGAATGGTGGAAGAGTAGAAGGTAGGAAAGCACCGGGTTCTCAGTGACATTGTTACATGTTGAACAAACCCTGAGCCCACCTACCTCAGATCTCCTAAGTAAACAATAAACGTCTTTATGTTTTAAGATAGTGGCTTTCAAGGTGTGTTCTGGAGATCCATAAGACCCTTTAAGAGGTCCCATAAGGACAAAACAATTTTCATAATAATATTAAGATGTGATTTGCCTTTTTGTTTTTTTTTAAAGATGACCAGTAAGGGGATCTTAACCCTTGACTTGGTGGTGTCAGCACCACGCTCTCCGAAGTGAGCTAACCAGCCATCCCTATATAGGACCCGAACCCGTGGCCTTGGTGTTATCAGCACCACACTCTCCCGAGTGAGCCACGGGCCGGCCCTGTTATTTGCCTTTTTCATCCTCATTCGCTCATAAGCTCATGGTAGAGTTTTCCAGATCTACATGATGTTTGATATCTCTTCATTTGATGGGAGAAGCAGATAGAGAATCTAGCTGTCTTCTATTAAGTTAGACATAAAGGAGATGTGCAAAAATGTAAAACAATGTAATTCTCACTAATTCTTTTTGTTTTAGAAAAATTTTCAAAAAACGTATTATTTATATTAATATGTACTGGGCTTATTAATGATATTTTTAAATAAATTAACAAATACACATTTAAAAAATTTCCATTTGAATTTCTAACATGGTAAATATTGATAGATATAACTCTCACAAACAAAAGCACTTTAGGGTCCTCAATTATTTTTAAGAATGGAAAGGAGTCCTGAAACCAAAAAAGTTGGAGACTTGCTGATTTAAGACATCATTAGATGGTGTTTTCTGTTCATTGCTGCCCAAAGCATTCCTAAATGACACAGAACAGAAATCTTCTTAGGGGAGACCTGTCTTTGCTAGCAAAGCAAACTGCTGGGCCATTGTGGTTGTAGGAAGATAGCAGGACTGGGGGTACTGGGGAATGAAGCAAAGAGAGCTCTACTGCTCAGCATGAGAAAAGAACGAGAAATTGGGGAATTTGGGATAAGGGAGGTAATTTGAGATAAGGGAGAGAAATGAAGGAGGCGAAGGAGAGGGAGACAGCCTGGCCATGTGGCTGGAGGTGGGGCTGAATGCAAGAGATGCCCAGTGAAGGTTTCCTGCTGGGGAATAGGGTGGAGGGCGGGAAGAAATATGGTTGATGGCTAGTTACTATTATGGGGTTTTTTTGGAACTTACATATAATACAAACGCTTCATTATTTATTTACAATCCCTATAAAAAGATGACCGGTAAGGGGATCTTAACCCTTGACTTGGTGTTGTCAGCACCACGCTCAGCCAGTGAGCTAACCGGCCATCCCTATATGGGATCCAAACCCATGGCCTTGGTGTTATCAGCACCGCACTCTCCCAAGTGAGCCACGGGCCGGCCCCAAATGCTTCATTTAATAGTCGCAGATCATCCCCATGGGCCAAGTGGTCTACCTGACACCCAGAAGCCAAGTTGAGCACAGCCTCTGGGCCTCTGGCTGTGACTCCAACAGGGTGATGAGCATGTAGCCCTGGCGCATGGAGCCTTTCATGTTATGGATGATGGAGGCTTGTCGTTTATAAATTCCATGTACACTGGTGGTGGGCCCCAGCAGATTTCTTCACCTTCTTGAAGGCATACCCTCACTATGTATCACTGACTCCCAGGTTTGGAGAGTCCCTTAAGGCAGAATGACTATTTTCTGAACCAGCTCATGGACAGAGCCTTTGAATTTGGAAAACCCAAGTGGTGGATATCCTGGGCCAGGGCCTCTCCCGATGGTTGGCTTCTAGGACCAACCCAGTTGACTTCCTGGCAGTTTCCCTGAAGCCCTCCCTCCCCAGGTGGGCCTATATTCCCTTCATTTTGGCAGAACAGTGCTTGGGGCTAAAGAGAGATGGAGTCCTCAGCCTACCCTCTCGATTTGACCCTGAAAGAAGAAGAAAAAGGAGAGATTCAGAGCCGGGAACTGGAAGATGGTTGGCAGATATGCAGAAGGCAGGAACCTGCTCCGAGGGCGGATGGGTGCCAGCTCTGTTTGATGAGGTGGCCTATATTTTCCCCATGAGGAGTGGACAGTCGTGACTGAGCAACAAAAGGCCTTTTACCAGGAAGTCATGAGGATGAATTATAAAACTGTCCTGTCCCTGGAATTCCCATTCCCTAAGCCAGACATGATCACTCGGTTGGAAGGGGAGGAGTCGTCTTGGAATTCTGACGAGTGGCAGCTCCCAGGAGGAACCTTTGCAGAACACGAAGAATCTGACGTGAAGCCTCCAGATTGGGCAGGACCGATGAGTACCACCCTCCGGTCTCCTCAGCCTCAGCACCTCGACAGCTTTCGCCTCCGTCTGCCCCGCGGCATCACGGAGCTGCCCGACTGGAGCGAGGGGTGCCCCTTCTACATGGCCATGGACTTCCCAGGCTGTAACCTCTTGCCGATGACATAGCCTGGATGTTTCCGTTCAGTTAGGATGCAGGGTTCAAGTTTACGGTGGTGGAATATGCCGAGAGCGCCAACAACTGCCAGGCCACCAAGCAGTTTGGAGCGTTGGACAAAAATGTTGGAGACTAGTTAGGGCCGGCCCGTGGCTCACTTGGGAGAGTGCGGTGCTGATAACACCAAGGCCACAGGTTCGGATCCCTATATAGGGATGGCCGGCTAGCTCACTGGCTGAGCGTGGTGCTGACAACACCAAGCCAAGGGTTGAGATCCCCTTACCGGTCATCTTAAAAAAAAAAAAAAATGTTGGAGACTAGCACAAAGTGAAGCAGCAGCTCCAGAACGCCCATGCCACGTGGCGGGCATTCAGAGGCCCCAAGAATGGGAGGTTTGCTCTGGTGGACCAGTGTGTGGCCGCGTATGTCAGATACATGCAGGCCAAAGGGGACTCCACCACCAGAGGCGATGCAGCTGAGCTAAGCAGCCAGCCTGAAACTGGGTAATGTATAAAGAAATGAAACTTATTTCTCAACAGTTTTGGAGGCTGAGGCCCAAGATCCAGGGGGTGCATCTGGTGAGGGCCTTCTTCTTGGTGGGGAGTCCCTACAGAGTCTCTTGGTGACAAAGGTATAACATGGCAAGGATGGCAAGAGAGAGCTCTTTGATGTGCTCACTTGCTCTCCTTATAAAGCCACCAGTCTACTCCCTGATAAGCCACTGCTCCATGAATGGATCGATCCACTCACGAGGGCACAGTCCTCACAATCCAGTCACCTCTCAAAGGCCCCGCCTTTTAAGTACCATAATCGGATTTCCTACCCTCTTAACACTGTTACAATGAGGTCAACTTTCCAACACATGAACTTTTGGGGGACACATTCAACCCATAGCACTTGGTGAGTCGTGTTTTGGGGAAATCAAGAAAAGGGAGATTTATTTTATTTTATTTTATTTTATTATTTAAAAAAATTTTTGTTTATTTTTTTAAGGGAGCTTTATTACATGTTAGGGTTGACATGGAGTGGAGAGAAAACAAACTGTGTGGGTGACAGAATTCTACACAAGCTGGAAATGAGAACTGGAAGTCACTGGGTAAATGTAAGATTCTCCTGCCCCATCCTATTATCCCTGGTGAATCCCTGTAGATTCTAGAAAAGGAAACAGCGTTTCCCACCACAAGGGGATTTTGAGTCCATTGTATTCGTTTTTTTTTTTTTTGTCTTTTGTCTTTTTCCGTGTCCGGCAACGGATCGCAACCCTCAGTGTTGCCCCCGTACCGGACCGGGGACCAGCAACGGGATTGCAACCCTCGGCGTTGCCCCCGCGCCTCGCTCAGCCAGTGAGCGGGAACTGGTCCGTATGTGGGATCCGAACCCTTGGG